GATTTCATGATTTTTACCAAGGGAAACCACATGATCCAATACCTAAAAGCAACTGCAGTTTCCCCAAAAGATGCGACAAAAGAATAACTGATAGAAACAGAAGCTTTCCCCCTAGTTTCACATGCCATCGTTCTTTCTTTTAGACAGAGCAGGATTGGATGAGAGCCCATCAAAGAACAGCTTCCCATGCAGTTGGCATGATTCCCTAGTTGACACAGTAGAAGTGGCAATACAGAATTGGAGTATCACTTCTCATGTACCTTCAACTTAAGTCACCAATTTGTATTCCTGGTGCAGCATTTATGACATCAAATACTGATTACTGGTATCATGAATCTACCCTGCTCTGATTAACAATATAAACAAAATTAGTATTTCTTTGTTAAGGTATAAAATCCATTCAAAATGAGCAATTTATGACTTCCTAAAGTGATTCAAAGCCCCCAATAAGCAGCAATTTGGGCCTAGAAAAATGTGACTTCTTTATTTCCCAAAGAATCCAGAGAGTTCCTAAGAGAAGGAAATTGGAGTATTAAAAGCTGCATGCATTTCACAACATCATTGAGAAAGAAAAAGTCATTGAGTAAGGACCTGAGGTTAAGAATGTTAGTGGAAAGACGTGACCGTCTGCTTTGGCTTTTACTCTACTGTCTCTACAGTAACACGATTTAGTTACGAGTTGCAGCAGCTTGTTATGGATGTTTGGAGATGGAGTGTGTGAATCTGATGTTGTCAGAATGTTGGGTGTTCCAGGATTTTATTAATTATTTCTTATTAAGTGTTTTACCTGGTTTTCACTATTGAGGAGATGATGATATTGAAGCAATATTTTCAGAGTAGACTATCTAGCATCCCTTAGCTGTGGGAGTTAAAGTTTTTATACTTCCCAGTAATTCTTTTCTTTTTTTGAAATAGATATTTTGTTAGAATAACTCGGCATGACATTATACTAGTTACTGATCAACATTACAAAATGTAAGACAATGGTATATGATTAATATTAAGCTTGTATAGTAATGCATCTGTTGTCTAATAAATATAAACCAGGAACACAAATAAAACAAAGGACGATATGGACCCTTGTTTCCTGTGATGGTCGATTAGCATCAATGACCATCCTTCTGGCCCTGGGTTGTCTTCAGACTTGCGTGGTACTGACTGTCTCTGAATTTTCTCCTTTTGGCATGGGCCTCAGAGCTCACTTGGGTTTGGAAACAATTTGCCTAAAAAGCCATTGTAAATACTTGCAAGCCTGTTCTTCTTCCAGCAACAGAATCCTATCTAGAAAGCAAGCATTTGGTTGTTTTTTTTTTCTTTTTAAGTTTCCGTTCTTCAGATTCAATCATAAAATATATAAAAATTTCACAATATGGTAGGGCAACTGGTTTATGTATAGATCCCTTTCTTTCCTTGATTGGAAGGATGTTTCATGGCGAGCTTTACTAACTTTAACCTTCTACTCCACCCTCAATCTCCATGCAGTCAGTTTCACACCGGGTTAGGCACTATGATTTTATTTTTTTAAAGGGACTTTATACATGTTCCCAGAACATAGCATTTTAAAGGACATTTAAGCCAAACAAATGCAGTTTTACCATGTATATGAAGTAATTCTTCAGCTCCAGTCACAGATGACTTAAGGATGGTTAGCAGTGCCATCGTGCACGCTTGGCTTTGATTCGTATACACCTGTGAATTGTCTCTGTGGAGAAAATGTACAGAGGTAGCATTTCACTTTTATGTTTTCCATCAAACAGCTTCCTAGTGACAGAGGGAAAGGTATGAAAGTTGTTAGGGAAAACATTCTCTATTACCAGGAGGTTGTTTCTTCAGAAGTCGGAGGCTTGTGTGCTTTGTGAAAGGAATACTAAATTAAACCTGTACTAGAGAATTTCTTTCAGATAATCAGGCTTTACAAAGCCACCTTTGCCTCATCCAAACAAAATGCTCTACAGGTAGCTGCTTAGAAGTTATTTTATCATAGAATTAAAGGAACTTTGATTCTAAAATGTATGCTTCTGTATACTAATATGAAATATGCAGTGTCTGAAACATTCTCAACCAAAGAAAGAATGGCAAGTCCACACTTGGGACTGGTGTTGGGTGGTTTGTGGGATCCAGGAAATCTCACCTGCATCTCCATCAGAGCCTTGAATCCTACTACCACAAGTTGTTTGAATTAAGGCTTTGTATTTTCAATTTTTATTAATAGGAGCCAAACCCTAAGTGGGCAACATTTAAAATAATTATTAATCCAAGAAGCAGACTCTTAACTATAGAGAATGAACAGATGGTAACCATAAGGGAGGTGGTGGGGATGGATGGGTAAAATAGGTGATGGGATTAAAAGTACATTTATCACTGGTATCGAAGTGCTGGATCACACTGTGTTGTACACCCAAAACTAATAGAATACTGTATGTTAACACTACTGGAAATAAAGTTTAAAACTTTTTAAAAAATAATTACTAATGATGACCTCTTTAAGAAATATTTATCACTTTTCTTTATATACTAAGAGCTGCTTGTAAGAAAACAGAAAGAACACTAATTGTCCAACTTTGCTAGGGGATAGGTAAGATGGCAAACCTGGCTGTCTACACAGGCAGATCTCTAGGAACTCCAGGCAGTTGGAAGGAAATATGAGGGTACCAGGTGTCTTAAAAATGGGATATTAAAAACAAAGATGTCATAGGTAAGTTCAAGACCTATTCTACAGGTTTGCTTAGGTCCAATATGATGACAATATTGAAAAATTATGTTGACCTCAGGATCTTAGTCTTCCTTCCCTTGTTGAGTCTCGAGTAGATGCTTTGATTTGCAATATTGAAGTCTTATAGATGGATTCTGTCCTTTGTATCTCAGTAGATTGGCTCCGTCTTATTGCAGAATATTTCACTGTGCATCTCCTAAACAAACACCAAAGCCATTGAGAATGTTGAGAAAACACTTACAAACAAAGCTCCCTCTGGAAGTGTCTTCCCACAGCACAGGGACTTTCTCCCCTGCTATCACAAGGACACTGAAAGTCAGTGCATTTCAGCTTTGACTACAGCTCCTCATTTGCTTTATTTAAAGATCCCAATCTCAGTTCTTTATGGAGTGTTTAGGTTTCCTTGTAGGCCTCTTAGGAATCATAAGCTTCTCTACTCCTTAACCATATACTACATCGCCGTAATTGAAGCTCTTTTGTTGCTGTAATTTCTTCCTAATGTTACAGTTTCAGTCAAGTATTCTTTCCCTCTGGAGGCATTAATGATTGCCACTTTGAAAATACCCTTACTGGGTACATATTTTTTTTACCTCCGGTGCCAAATCATGCCATTCTTTCCTGTTCTTCCTCAAGGTGAAAGGGCTTTCCCCATTTTTTCTTCACTGTTTAGCATACGCCATGCCCTTTTTAACCACTGTGATGGAATTTAGAGTATCTTTGCCAGCCAGTTACAAAGTCATTCTGCATAGTTTCCTGGAGTTCACCAGTTTATAGGACATATCTCAGGATAGAGGATTTCAATTTTAATTTGCTATCAGCTATGAAGTTATTGGTCACTAGAGCTTATGACAGTCTACCCTTGCTAAGGATTTTCCTATGCTTTATGGCATGGCATTAAAATAAATGGTTATTTTCCAATGACAAGGCCTGCACTGAGATATAAAATTGAAAAGGAGGATCCTTCTTCAAATGCAACAGGGTGTACTGGAAAACATCCTCTTGTTTGAAGTAAAGTGAGTTTTTCTTTATTTAGTCCTGGTAACTAGTTCAGATAATACACAGTTAAATGGATGCTTATTATAATCAAACTTCCTAATCTTCTTTTCATTTACATATACACATGCGTACACACACATACACACATGCAAAATCTATCTTCCATTAAAGAGGAAAGACTACTTAATTATTGTTTTACCAAAACTTACAGACACCAGGAAATATTTGGAGTAATAAAAGCAGTCACCCTTCAGCCAGGATTTACCGAGAGCCCTGTTCTAGGACCTGGAGAAAAAGCATTAAACAAGACAAATTTGCAACTCTCACAGAGCCCGAGTTCCAGAAACTTAATCCAGACTTCTCTTCCCATTTAAATTTACTCTATTTTATCTCATCTGATTATTTACTAAAGGACCTTATATTCTTCATCCAAAAGGAACAAGTTCTCCATGATGAGAATACCAATTTGTCTTCTAGTGCTTGGAATTATGCGATTTATCCTAAAGTCATCTGTTTCTGAGAGTAGTACAAGTCTATTTCATTATATAAAAATGAAATACACTGAAATTTATTATTATTTTACTGAACATAAATCAGGAAATAGATTCAATATACATTACCTAAGGACTGACATTTCAAGCCCCTTAGCCATGTGTTTCAGTAAATGTGTTTCCATGTTCATTTACTGCTACATTTTGAATCATTGCCTCTGCCCATATGACTGTTGATGTCTCTCCCTTCAGCCTGGATGAACCCATTTCATTCCAAGAGTGAGAGCTTCTGCAAAATAATGGAAAGCCTTGGCCTGAGCTACACAAAACACATGCTTATTATCATATTGTATAGAACTCAAAAGAAGAGTTGATACAGAATTCACTATAGTTTTCTTTTGTTTGAACTCTGTTGCTTTATTAAAATACAAATAAAATCACAGTGACTCCCAACATTGCTATGAACATTTTTCTACCTACTTTGACAGCCTCAAGTATCTTATTGACTTCTGCATATTTTATACTTTATGGTCTAATTTTTAAGCTTTAGGTTTATGATTCAATACAAAAGAATTGCACTTTCAACCGTAAAATGAAAATTTGAAACACTGGCTTGAATATAGAGCAATACATAATGAAGGTAAATTTGGGTGATTTTGGTAACATAAGCTTAATTTCAAATGTTGGGCAGTAATTATGAAACCCTCCCAGGGTGACCCAGAGAGTATTAGTGAGCTCTCCGTTCTGCTGTGGGATTTCTTTCTGAGATAAATGTCGTTCTGTGTGTGTTTTTCTCTCAGGAGGTCGAGCTGTGTCGTGTTAGCAGTCAAGAGAAGCTGGGCCTGACAGTCTGTTACCGAACGGATGATGAAGAAGACATGGGCATTTATGTCAGCGAGGTAAGAAATGCCTATGAGGGAAGGGAGGGGGAGGAGACAGCGAGGAATGGAGTCAAATGACTCAGGATGAGAAAATCCTTGGGAGGCTTGAATGTGAAGAATTGGCCATGTTCCAGGACTTGTCAGTTTCAATTAGGAAAGTAAATTATGTTGCCCAAGTAATGTAATTATTATCAGCTTGTTTAATGTGGATGCTTTCACCACAGACTCCCAGTAAGGAAAAGTGTAAAAGTGGGCAGGAACATTGCCTAAATTTGAATAAATTCCCCCGTGTATACAGAAAGTCCAGCAAAATTTCTGACAAGCAAGCATTTCGTCCCTCCATTCCTTTTTATCAGTGCTGTTAACAAGAGCATTGACTAATTGTTTTAAATCTAATATTACAAATATCACATGATTTACTCTGCTGGAAGTATTGATACATTTGAATATGCAAGGAATGTATCCATGAGTTTGTTTTATTCAAAAAATCACTGTCAGAAGAAAGTGAGGTACCTAAGTGTAAAACACTCTTATCTGTAATCACTGTCAGAAATCACTGTAATCACTGTAATCACTGTCAGAAAGTGAGGTACCTAAGTGTAAAACACTCTTAGTGCTAATTGCTTTGAAAACAATGTGAAACAAAATTCACTATTATAGGTGATTTTTTAAGACTCCCAAAGGAATCATTTTGTGAAAAATAGTAGGTATAATTTAATTATATGTATATATGACTGAAATTATATATGTATATACATATGCAAATACATATGTACGGAGATGTATGTGTATTGTCTAATTCCGCCATGTATGTATGTGTGTATGCACACACATATCTGTGTGAAACTCTGTATGTATGTATATATGTATATATGTGAAAAAGAAGTTAGACAAGCTAGATATTAATTAATGTCCCATGCTGTTCCAAGTATTCTTGGCCATTAACATCATTACCTGACTCACTGAGCTTCAGCTTCCTTAACTAGAAACTTGATACAATATTGCTTATCTTATTGCTTTTACGAAGGTGTTTAGAATATGGAAAAAGTAATGTAATTAATGCACTTAAGAAAACTACCCAGCTCTATAAATGTAACTGTTACTCTTTATCACTCTACGGAAGAATTTACTGACTGGCTCTTGCAATGGAAAAATCTCCAGAGAATGTTTGACTGTATACACCTCTTCTTTTAAATGAACAGCTATGTTAATCCCTCCAATTATGGTGAGGAAGTAGAAGGAAATACCTGCAGAATTGTCTTTTGTAATAGACACAAAGCTATAAATGTCAAAGTTTGGCATTAGCTTGATTACAGTTCTGTAGGCAAAGTTTTAAATTGTGAACAGCTTCTCAATAGGATGCAATTGATTAATCATACCTCCCTTCCTTCTAGTAAGTCTCTATTTACCATTTAAATATGCCAGCTTTGTAGATGAACTTTCTAGGCACAAAAAAGAAGCCACAGGAACTGAGCGTTTTACTTGGAAAGAATATTTTCCTTATATTTCTTAGATGTGATTATAGTGTCTTTGTTCTTTTTTTTTTATTATTAGTGTCTTTGTTCTTGATTGATCACTTAAAATTCACTTGTTAGGTGTCACCGCCTAATAAGAAAATAATACCTAACATCTGGATAGGATGGATCAACTTCATGCTACACTTGAAATAACTTTGCTTAAAATAAAAGCTTTGATGGAATAAGCTCAAATAAATGGCTTAGAGGCATCATTCAAAATGTGATAGATGGAATTACCCCTAGTGAACTCTAAGTCATCACTCGAGTCTGGCCTATTAAAATGTTGGTAAACTCCTAATAAAGTGTTAAATACCTATTTATTCTAAAATAACGTATAGTTAATAGACCACCATGTAATGTAAAGTAGAGCCTAGTAATACTCTACTTGGATAAGATTTTTTATTTTTTGAGCAACATCGGTTATAAACCTCTTTATAAAGTAATCTGCTCATGAGACAGAAATTTGCTTAATAAATATGAACGTACAGCATAGTCATCAGCTTTTCTAAAACAGCTAAACCAGTGTTTAAAGATCACTCTAGTAGAAAGCAAATTTCCTGGGTCTAGAGAATCATAGAATTAAGATCTACTGAAGATCATGTCAGCTGAGGACCATGTCTGACAGTTTGGATACAGAAATGAGTGAATGGATATTAAAAAAAAAAAAAGAGGAAGAAGAAGAAGGAGAAGGAGAAAAGAGAAAGGTAAAAAGGGAGGGAGAGAGAAAAAAAGGCCTTCAAATTAACTTCTGCTCTAGTTCTCTTTAATTTTATTATTATTAATTTTTAAACAGTCCACTTATATTTTTAGAATCAGTGATTTTTGAGAGAAAAATTTGGCATGCATTCTATAACATACTAGAGAATTTTGAACTAGGTTATATTTTTAAGTTCCTGGGGGGAATATTGCATATCCAATTGAAGATGTGTGCTTTCTCCATTACAGGTAGATCCAAATAGCATTGCTGCCAAAGATGGCCGAATTCGAGAAGGGGATCGGATTTTACAAGTATGTGGAATGGTCGTTTCCTTTAGTTTCCTACCATTTGTTCAATAGTTTTAATTTTATTTAGTTGTTTATAAGATCTTAGAGAAAAGAATTTGTCTTTTCTAGACAGTAACATCCTCAAAACAAAAAGCAATCATTTAAAAAAATAAGTGTAAGTAAAAAAATAAATTTAAAAAAGTGTAAATAAGAATGGTACTATTCATTAAGAATTATTGGCTAATAATTAGTGATTAAGGCATCATCTCTGGACTTGGATAACTCAGCTTCAGCTTCCAGTTCCACCACTTACTCTGGCACATTATTTAACCTCTTATAGTAAGCCTGTTTCCTCATCTTAAAAAAACAGTAATAAAACTATTGTTGTAAAGGTTAAATGTGATTATGCCTGTGGTAGGCTTAGCACACTACACGGTAAGTAACAAACATTAACTTCTAGTATTACTAGAAGCGGTTACTGCTGCCTTTTCCAGAATAAATTAGGTAAGCATGGATTCCTACATTCCATTACCATCTGAAAGTCTAGAAGTCTGAAGAAATCTTATTTATTTACAGGTGAGTTGCTGGGGACAGGTGGAGGAAAATGCTTTCTTTTCCACATGGAAATATGAAAAGGCAGACCCTGACTACATTGCACGTTAGTAAGCAAAATGATGAGCAGAATATAAGGGGGGTGTGGAGCTGGAAGAATTTCAGGCCAGATTAGGAATGACCTTGAATGCCAAAGTTCCTGTCCTAAACCCACATCAACCCCCTCTATCCCCTCCAAGTCTTTTCCCATACAGAATCCTGCAGACAGACACATAGCTCCCCAGCTTCTGTATCTAGATTAATCCAAAATAAGATCAGAGGCCCTCAGGATTGAGTGTCACTGCAGATCACAACTACAAAGCAGGGAAGGTGACTCAGAAGACGAATTAAGGAAATTATCAACTATTAAAACACTTTGCAGAACTTTTAGCCTTTGTGACAGACCTACGGTTCCCATTTCTCCTTACTTGATGTGAAAGCGTGATGAATGTTGCTTTGTGTTCAGCATCAGTGGATTCAATACTGTCTAGAACCGGGACTTTGAAAATTGTTAGATGCTACCTCAGCATTTGGGCACTCCCTGTGACAACAGGAAGACAGCTGCGTACACAGATGATGATGTGGTGTGACATCGTCATGATGAAGGTGTGCCCACACTGCCTGGGGTACATACCACAACCTTATCCTGCCCCACTTTCTGTTACTCTTCCTTTCTTCAATGTACCACTCTTGATTCACACTACTTCTTCATACCCTTTCTCTTCTCAAGCGAGATGCTACAGAACTCCTTTTTCATCAAGGACCCTCTAAGACTCCGATTAGGAAAGAATAAAAGTATGAATTAGTGGTCACTCATGGCCCTACTAATTTTTAGAAAACTTCAGGAATGTATAACTTCTATTCCTATAGCTCCTTAAGTGGTGACCTGTAGTAAAACACTTTCCCAATATGCCATTGGCTCTATCAAGGAAAAGGAAAGTGAGCCAGGAAACCAGAGTGTAGTCTTGTTTGCTACCATATTTTCAATATTTTTCTCAATTACACATGAATAAATGAATGAATGAAATAAAGGTATTCAGTGGAGAGAATGAGAGATGAATAAAATCTGTAGTAAAGGGATCCCTGGGTAGCGCAGCGGTTTGGCGCCTGCCTTTGGCCCAGGGCGCGATCCTGGAGACCCGGGATCGAATCCCACATTGGGCTCCCGGTGCATGGATCCTGCTTCTCCCTCTGCCTGTGTCTCTGCCTCTCTCCCTCTCTCTCTGTGACTATCATAAACAAATAAATTTAAAAAAATCTGTAGTAAAGATTTACTGATAAAGCCTCGTTAAAAAATAAGGGTACCATTTTTGTGTATCATCCAGATAATGAAAGCTTCAAGTATATTTTATTATTATTATTATTTTGATTTGGAAACAGTTATAAATGTGTTCACTTTGTTAACATCTACAGTTGAATATACTCAATTGAAAAGACTGTAACCTTCTTTTGATGCTCAAGGTCATGTTGTGCCAGCAATCATTACACAATCCTATAATACAATAAAATACTCAATGGTTAAAAAAGGTCTGGAAGATTTTGCGTTCCCAATATGAAATCACTGTAGTTGGCCATATTTTCTGATGTGTTGGGTCTATTTTTTGTCATTTTCTCTTGCTGATTCCAGCTGCTACTTCTTTCTCTCACCATCTACTCTCCACATTTGACACCTTCTACTGCAACCGCACTGGCTCCCTTCCTAATTTCCAGCTAACCACTTTCCCATAAGCTAGATACACAAATATCTAGCTGGTTATTAAAATTACATCTATTAATTCTATGAGTAGAGGTAGATAGAAATAAAGTATATGTATTTTCATATATGCATACGGTATGTTTTGACACTTCCTTATTCTCGGCTATATTGGAGGCAGATAAAGTTTTCAGATAAAATATTTGCAGGATAATAAGGCATTCCTTAATGGAGTTGGTTCATTGAAGAAACAAGAGCAGGATTGACAAAATGCCGTTGTCCGTCTGATTACTTTATATTCAATGACAAATATGTCACACTTAATGAACAAATACATGTCACATTAAAAAGCCTAGAATTCAAATCTATTTGCACACACAGGAAACAAAGAGTCTTAAGGGTGATGGTGAAATTATATTAAATAAAACTGTGACAAAATTGTAGCCCTAGACAAATAGCTCCCATATGGCTGATGAGGAGATTATGGGATACCCTGTAATGAACAATTAATGACTCCTGTCTCAGGGAGATGAGAGGGGGAGAAAGAGAGGATTTACTTCTTATCCTTAGAGTTTCCTGGCTGGCTTTTATTTAAATGAATCTCTTTAGAGCAATTGTGGTTTTAATTTCCTGTTCATGATGACCTAAGTAGAGTACTTCCATGGTCTTGTCCTCATTGTGTAGCTAAAATTTTCTAAAAGTAGTACATCGAGGCTCTGTTAACGAAATCCCCCAGTGATACCACCCACACACCAATACTCACATGAGATTGGCCCAAGGTAGAGACTGTAGAAGAAAAACCATAACCAATTCATGAGAACATATTCTAACTCTTGTGTGTTTTTTCTCTTCAAGAGCTCAACAGTTCTATGTGCTGTGCCATTTGCTACAAGCTTGTGGTATCAGATGTGTCCTCAGGAATTAATATGGGGAAGTTCTCTCACAAAATTACAAAGCTGAATGAAGAAAGGTATTTCTGAGCCTCACGGAGGAAGAATTAAAGACCACATACATGATCAGAGGGCTAAATTCTTACTTCCTCCTTGGGATTAGTAAGCATATAGTCTTCCATGTCAGCAGCCTAATCTCATGTTGGCCAAAAAAGTCAGTCATGTTCCTAAGGATTACTCCCTGACAAAACCCTGCAAAAACGCAAGCAGTAGGACAGTAAGACCCCTAATGAGCTTTCTCTCTCTTTCTCTGCCCTACACATAAACTTGTCCCCAACATTTGTTCCCATACTTTTATTTTCCTCCCTTTGGATAACTGTTTTCCTCCCATTTCTTTCTACCTCTGTATCTCTGTACATTATTCACCTTCCCTCCACACTAAAATATGAGCACACTTAAAATAGATTGTGCCTCTTTTGCCTTGGATTCCTGGGTTTTCAAATACATTGCATAGGTGGTTAGATGCCAAGAATTTTAGTTACCCACCCATCTCTGGCACATTAACATAAGAAATCTAAAAAGTGGCACATTCAAGCCAAAAAAAAAAAAGCTATATTAAACCATTTCTAGGCTTTTAGGGTCTGCACACATGTGTGCACACACACATATATACATACTCATATGCACATGGAGGAGATTGGGCCGAAAATGAAATTTGGCTGATTTATCTTTGTAATGATACAAATCTTTTCTATGCCAAGGCAACCTCTGCTTCGAAATCAAAATTTACATAGGGTCACACTCAGAAAATGAGACAAGACATATTCTCCAGCATAGTGTTCCCTCATTTACAACAAAGTTACATGTTGCCTTTCTCCTGGTTCTTTTTCCCCTCTCTCTTCTTAAAGCAAAAGTCTTCCTTACACCGTAGTGATGCACTCTCTCATTTGTCTCCTCCCTGTGATTGTGGATCCTTCACCTTCTGCCTGCCTGGTATTTTCAGGCACAGCAATCCCACAAGCAATCCTGTAGCTATGAGCCATCCTTCAGGAACAAGAGCAAATGAAGGTTGAAAGCGCTATCTGATTCTATTCCTCAAGCCTCTTCATTCTTTGCTGAAACCCACAGCTGCATTTCTTGTCCCAATATCACTTTGGGTATCAAACAAATATCCTGAGTTCAATAGGATCCACCAACCAGTTGGCTAAAATGGTCTTTCTTTGAAAAAGAACCAATAGATTACATTTCACCACCAGATTTCTATGGTGAATTCATCTCATTCCACATAGGATTCTGAATGGAAGTGTGTTTCTCCAACATAGGCTCTATCCTTCCAGGGCAAGGACATAATGCCAGGACTGGAGACCGTAGCTCTGGTCATGTGGAGTTCCCAGAGGAGAGAGACAAATACCAACTGTAATGGCACTGCAGATCAAACACACCGCATTGTTTCTTGATGGTTCTCTAAGAGTTAAAAATACATATAAGATAGATGTCATTTCAAGTGGAACCATGTTTACTACCATGTTTACTACTATGGATTTAATTGTTGTGCATGAATTTTAATAAATTTGCCTTATTTAAAAGAACCGAATCTTTACTGAGGATTAAAATAGAATAAATTTAGATATTTAGATTAGAATAGAATAAATAATGATAGCAGTAGTAGCAGTAATAATAATAATAATGCTAACAACAACAAAAATATCAAGAGTACTATGTGCCAGGCAGCCCGTGTGGCTCAGCAGTTCAGCGCTACCTTCAGCCCAAGGTGTGATCCTGGGGACCCTGGATCAAGTCCCATGTCGGGTTCCCTGCATGGAGCCTGCTTTTCCCTCTGCCTGTGTCTCTGCCTCTCTCTCTCTCTCTCTCTCTCTCTCTCTCTCTCTGTGTGTGTGTGTGTTTCTCATGAATAAATAAATAAAAATCTTTAAAAAAAAGAGTACTATGTGCCAATCTAGAGCACTTCCTGGATATCGGGCACTTGTTTAAACCCTAGACATATACTGGGGTGCCTGGGTGTCTCAATTGGTTAAGCGTCTGCCTTTGGCTCAGGTCATGGTCCCAGGGTCCTGGGATTGAGGCTGCATCAGGCTTCCTGCTCAGTGCTCTCTTGATCACTCTCTCTCTCAAATGAATAAATAAAATCTAAAAACAAACAAACCCTAGACATGTAATAACTAATTTAACCCTTACAACAATACTCTGAGAAAGGTACTATTATCTGCACTTTAATATAGGAAACCTAATAGTAACATTAAATAAAAATGAATGAAGAGTATTTATGTTAATGGTAAGTGAAATTTAAATGAAGAATTTAGATGTATATACTTGAGTGAAAAAAAGCAGTGAGCATTAGGTTTCACACAGAAAAGGTGAAGAGAAGCTGTCGGAGAGCATCCAACTTAATCTCCCTAGGATCCAACGCACCAATAGTGGAGGGAGGATGAACAATTAGATCCGTAATGAATGGACAAATCGATGCATCGCAGATATACTATTAAGAATTACTATGAGGGATCCCTGAATGGCGCAGCGGTTGGGCGCCTGCCTTTGGCTCAGGACGCGATCCTGGAGACCCGGGATCGAATCCCACGTCAGGCTCCCGGTGCATGGAGCCTGCTTCTCCCTCTGCCTGTGTCTCTGCCTCTCTCTCTCTCTCTATGTATGACTATCATAAATTAAAAAAAAAAAAAGAATTACTATGAAATGGACATAAACCCCTAAAGCTCAAAGAAAGTAAACATTTTCAAGTCATTATTTTCAAACTACACTTCGTTGGGGATGGGGGAGGTGTAGTGGAATCCACCACTGCCAATTTATCTTTATTTGAGAAAAAGCCTTGGATTCGGTACAGAAATAGCTTTTCAGATGTATATTTATGAAAAACCACAAAATACCCTTCCCAATTATTAGTTCCTGTTTTGGAATAATAGCTTCTGTTTTCTAATTTGATGAATTTTATTGTGAGTTGCCAAAAAAGGAAATGCGCTTGAAGCTTGTAAAAGCTGAATAGACATAGACAGGTGAAAAACAAAGGTGATATTCATTTGATCAGAGTAAGAAAATACAATATATGGTTGTATGATTCCCCCCCCCTTGACTATTATGTGTTGTCTGCTTTCTTTGTGTTCCATATGTATGATAAGAATCTAGGAATCAGGATTATTTATTGTGGCCCAAGGTTGAGATTCCTGGACTTGTTTCAATAATTATATCTTCTTGTTTCAATAATTGTATCTTCCCCCATATGTCAACTAGAATCCCAAATATCTGAAAAAAGAAAATCTCAGTAGTCTACTTTACGCAGACTACATTGAAAAATTGGTCAGTACAGCCACATTTTCTATTTAATCTGTTGAAATAATTGATACTTATTTTAGATATAATTACTTGATTTCTCCAATTGAAATTTCTCTCTGCATATTTTGAATATGTGCTATGATCAAAACTCTCATTGTCTCCATGGAATTGAGCAATCAATAAAAATAAAATAAATATAAAATATCCAAAGAAAGAAGTTCAGTAAACTCAGAGCTAAATACATTTGAACATGAAAATGTAGCTTAAAATACAAACTTCAGAAACTTCATTTGCTCTGCCTGTAGAATTTAGAAAAAGGGAAAAAGGTACATTTTGAATTCCATCGGAGTCTTTTAATCAAAAGTTTATTCGAGCGTGGGTTTTTTGCAAAAAGCCAGTCTTACTCTATGCTATTTTTTTTAATTCAGTACAGTTAAGAGATGAGCCTTAAGATATTTCATTAGTTTTGTTGTTTGAAGAAATGGATAAATCTTAGAAAGAACTGGAGTATTGATAAGGAGGTTACTGATGAACCGTCCTTTGTTTGATTAGTTAAGCACTGAAAGCTATCCTCAGAGTGATTGGGACAACTGAGTCAGACCCACACAAATATGAGATGATTAAATGAAAATGCAATCAGCGGTGGCCTGGGAGCATTGCCTGGTGAGAGATAATACTGTAGCTCTCTAATTGGCTCGTAGCAGGCATGCAGGATGACGGATTTCAGTTGTGGGATTGCCAGGTCCGCTTCCCCCAGCACTATTATCTCAGAGTGACACTTCCATTACTCTGAGCGGAGAAAGATGAACGTCACCTGTCAGGGGCTGGTTAATTGTGTTGCTAGATGTATGTTGCCAGGGCGCAGGTTGGACATTTATGAACATAACTGCTTCCTCTGATGCCCGCCATCCTTCAGGGATCGATATGGCTCTTACAGTAAGCGCGTAATTGAGTGAAGGCACTTACCACTGAGGGGCTGAAGATGAGCCCATTGTGTGAGCTTCATTGTCCATACATTCACCATAAATGAGCTGATATTTGCCATTTATTGTGTGCAGCATTGTGGAAATGGAAACTAATGTGCCACTTTCATTTGTTTTCTAGATAAATGGGGAAGATGTCCAGAATCGAGAAGAAGCAGTGGCATTGCTGTCTAGCGATGAGTGCAAGAGAATCGTGCTGCTCGTTGCAAGGCCAGAGATTCAGGTCAGAGCAGAGATCAAAAATCTTGAGACTGAACTTTCTGTCCATTATTTGCTATCCTCTATCAAATCAGTACCATGGGTAATTGTACAGCCAAGTATGCAAAACATAATTAAGTGTCATCTTTCCTAACTTACCAGCCATATCAACCTTATCTTTTTCGAAAAAGAAGGAAAAAAAGCACACAGGATGGAACCATTATTCTCTCCTTCCACTTGCCAGTATTCGAGTGAATTAATAAATGAAAAATGGTTGACTTTATATGATTTTTAATCCTGTATAGAGGCTTCCTTTAGGTTTCTGTCTAAAAATACTTAATTGGCATATTAAGGTATCTTGAAAGAATTTCTAATGAGAGAAAAATTAGCATATCCTGCTATCGACTTAAATCTTTTTAGAGTAACCTTATCGAATAAAGTAGCTGATAGCGTGGTGTAGCTCCATGTATAGTAAAGGAATTTTTTCCAGGTTTAGAGGGACAAAAACACCTGTCCAGCCAAAAACAACCCGATAGCTTCTAGAGGGATTGTTTTTTTTTTATATACCTTTAACAGAGGGAGATGTCATGAAAGTAAAGGAGAGGAAATGGTGGAAGAAAAGTGCTATTGGTCCTTCTTTTTATATCCTTTTTACACCCCACCACAATGCAGAAAGGACAGCACACTGTCACCGTTCTATCCATCTGTCAGCAGTTTGAGTGAAGTTGGTTATATCACCATTTGTCTCCCAGGTTATTGATCTGATATTTTTCAAACTCAGTAACTGCATACTATCTATAAATTACATTGAGTAAGTGTATTTCAGTGTCAGACCAAGTCCTGACTTGAATATAGTGGTTATAAAAGATCACCCTTTCCGCATATATTCCCTTTATGCCCTTGACCATTCTAAATGGTTCCCATAAAGCCTGCTATAGCCCAAGGCAGAGTAAAGTTACACACCTGAGGTCTCAGGACTGGGAAAGGGAGCCTGCACGACTGGCTGACCTGCCTATTTAGGAATGACCTTAAAAATATAAAGTACATATAAAATTTCACTAATTATCTGGAAATTTTGCAAACCAGTTAGTCCCATGGATCCCACTTTCTTGAAAAAGAACAGAATAAAGAAGCTAAACACATGTTAGTGAAATTCATATGAAGAGAGCGCAGTGGTTGTCTCTGTTATAGAAAAGATATTTTGATGTTATAATGTGGTTTCCTTGCCCTTTCCACAGAACTTCTAGGGAACCTCATTAATTAGAATTAAAGCATTTCCTTAAACTATGCCATAGAATGACCATAATGGATGTGCAAAGAATAGAAATTAATGACATAAGACTAGATCCTGTTAATCGTTGATAGAATACATATGCTTGGTAGAACTGGTGGCATTTTCAGATATCTGACTACACTCCTGACCTAGTAGAATTGATGTTGGAGGATGAGTTTCCAAACAAGACTTCCTTTCCACAGTTGAGAAAAGATGGTCATCTCACCACAGGATACCACAAAATCAAGAAATGCTTTAGCTCCTTGCTCCTAAAGAAGCCTCATGCCACTGAAAGAGAACTAATTGCCTTTAGTAAATCAGATTCCTAGAAAAAAGAAAGAAAGAAAGAAAAAGAAAGAAAGAAAGAAAGAAAGAAAGAAAGAAAGAAAGAAAGAAAAAGAAAGAAAGAAAGAAAGAAAATGCATCTTAACCTCATATTTTTAAATTGTGATGTAAGGAGTATATGCTATAAAATGGCAAGAAAAAAAATTTTTAGACCCTCTCTCCTCTGGGTGATGGGCACTAGAAAAAGAAAGAAAGAAAGAAAAAGAAGAAAGAAAGAGAAAGAAAGAAAGAAAGAAAGAAAGAAAGAAAGAAAGAAAGAAAGAAAGAAAATGCATCTTAACCTCATATTTTTAAATTGTGATGTAAGGAGTATATGCTATAAAATGGCAAGAAAAAAATTTTTAGACCCTCTCTCCTCTGGGTGACGGGCACTGAGGTGGGCACTTGACGGGATGAGCACTGGGTGTTATTCTATATGTTGGCAAGTTGAACACCAATAAAAAATAAATTTATAAAAATAAAATAAAATAAACCCTCTCTCCTTTGTATCACCTACAATTTTCATCAATTTCAATGTAGCTTATACATTTAAAAATATCGCATTATTTACAAATGAATCTTATTCAGAGAAAAATGTGGAAGTTTCTTGTGTGCTTTTTTCTAGCCTCTTTCTTTTTTTTTTTTCTTTTTTAGTATTTCAAATACCCTGTACATTCTTGGAAATGATCTACAGACTTGCTGGGGGCAGTATTGTACATCTGTGCAATATTTTTAAATAACTCATTTCTCTCATTCCCTGTCAACTTTCTTTCATTTTCTGACCATTTTCTTCCTCAGACCATTAAAGATATTGCTATTCTGTCCTATTTCCCCTTGGGACATTGGGGCAGAGAGGGCTCACGTGAGAACTTGTAAACACTTCTTCTGAGACAATGCAGGTTCCGTTCTCTGAAATGCCACATCTGTCCCATACTGTGCTGACAGATCCCTGTTTCAGAGAGTCCTCCTTTCCTGCAGCTCAGCTCAAGGGAGAAGTCTGTCCATGGTATAGCTTAGAACTCAAACTGCCATGAATACAGTTAGGTGGAAAGGGAAGGGCAGTGAGCAAGAAGCTCTCTTCCCTCACCGTGCGGGGTGTACCTCCAGCCTAGACCAAAGTCTGGTCAAAGGAGACGTACACTGCCTACAGATGGCGACTCAAGGATCTGTGTGGGGTTAGCTAATAAGAAAAGAGTTATAGGGAATCATTAATTCCCACTGTTTGTTCTCCTTATCTTTCCCACCCCTTCATTTAAATTTCAGAAGACTGTGCCATCATCCACTACATCAGCGCAAGCAAATATTTTGCTTTGACCTGATTAAAGAAAAATGCTGTGGTGTGCTTAGAAAAAGGAAACACTCCTCGCTCTCCGTAATTTCTTTTGGAGTCTGGAGTTTGCAGCTTTGTGAAACTTAAAAAGGATTACAGAATGTAAAACTTAGACAATTATAAATTGAACTTGAATTTTTAGTCAGCCTAATTTTCATAGTTCATCTGCATATCAAAGTCAGCGAGGTAGAACTTGGTCAAGTTATTCAGGCTACATTAAGATAAATGAGGATGAATAAATCTGTCTACACTTTTGGCCTCAGTCAGATTTGAAGTAATGTAAGTTCGATGTAGCCTTTAATAAATATCAAGAAACCTACAACTGCCTTCATATTAATGAATATGATACATATATGCTAATGCCTTTTCTGGCGCAACCTAGTGTCCTTTCAGAGTTTGTTCTGTTTCAAGTTTTACAGTTTCAGTTACCTTTAAGATTTAAGAGCTTACTTTGCTATTGTTGAGTGGTGAAAACACCTCAAATTCTGGCTGACCCTTGAGCAATGTAGTGATTAGGAGAGCCAACACCCCCACCCAGTCAAAAATCTGCATGTAGCTTCCGACTCCCCAAAAACTTTACTAATAGCCAACTCCTGGTTAGAAGCCTTACTACTCAGGATCCCTGAGTGGCACAGCGGTTGGGCGCCTGCCTTTGGCTCAGGGCGCGATCCTGGAGACCCGGGATCGAATCCCACGTCAGGCTCCTGGTGCATGGAGCCTGCTTCTCCCTCTGCCTGTGTCTCTACCTCTCTCTCTCTCTCTCTATGTATGACTATCATAAATAAAAAAAAAAAATAGAAGCCTTACTACTCGATTAACACTTATTTTATATGTTACATGTATTATATACTACCCTTAAGACATAGTAAGCTAGAGAAAAGAAAATGTTATTAAGTATAAGGAAGAGAAAATAGAGTACTGTATTTATATATATATAAAAAATCCACATATAAGTGGACCCACGCAGTTCAAACCCCTGTTGTTCAGGGGTCAACTGTATTGTCAATTTTGGCTCATTAGAAAGCTGCTGTTTCTTTTAACAGAGAGTAAAACAGAGCATGGACAATAATTCAGTTAATTTAATCAGCATAGACAGCTAATTTATGTAATCCAGCTCCAGAAATCCACTTTGAGGCAAATTATCTGTATTGACTGTCAACACTCATCATATTAGCAAGGTTTCCCTCTTCACTTTGTATTGAGGAGCCAGAAGGATTTATTCAGTTTAATTTGTGTAAGAGTCCCACCAGAATACTTGCATCCTGAGCTCACAAACAAAACCCTGCATGTTCCACACCGCTCCACTCCCCCTTAAATGCAATGTTTCAGGGATGGATGGATGGATGGATGGATAGATAGATAGATAGATAGATAGATAACTGGATAGATAGATAGATAGATAGATAGATAGATAGATAGATAGATAATATATATATATAATATATATATATATATATTGCAATTGGGCCTGAAAAATTAATCAAAATAGACATGGCACAGCATCACCTTTTTTTATGAAAAGAATAACTTAGATTTTTTTCTTTTCTTCCCCCCAGATAAAATAAATGTCTGTATTTGTGGCAAGCAGCCATCTTGTTAACTTGGGAAGCCATCTGCCTAAAAATAAAAAAGCAGGATGAGGGGTAGCATCAGTGTGTGAAAGGGGTGGGGAACACTCATTGGTCTCATTGGGGGTTGTTGTGAAAGAAAAAAGCCCAATTGTCTCATGGCCCTATTAGTACCATTGCAGTTCTTTAACACAGGGACTGTTGGAGGTAATGAGCGTGACAGCTGTGGATTATGCAATATGCTTTTAATACATTTTGAAAGATGGTGATGTTCTATGCTGTGAGATCTACTTGGTTATGAGAGAAAATCTGTAGCTGTGTTTCAGGAAAGGATAAAAGGCATAGGAGTCCAATTTTTTTTTTTAATCACCTTTTCTTCCTTCTGAGAGGTGAACTTGTGAGAGGCTGGTATTCTGAAGAGAATCATTATGATAAAAGGAACCGGTCAGGCATCGCCATTTAAGTTTACCCTATTTTAGCATGAGTTCCCACTAACCTAATATAATGTACTAATGTATTCTTTTGCAGCTGGATGAAGGCTGGTTGGAAGATGAAAGGAATGAATTCTTAGAGGAGTTAAACTTGGAGATGCTGGAAGAACAGCATAATGAAGCAATGCAGTGCACTGCCAATGAGGTGGAGCAGGTAGGGCCAACGATTTGAACTACATCATTTGAAATGTTGCTAGTTTCTTTTCTGAATATATAACCATAAATGGAGTAAAAAACAAAATCAAAGAGTTTGATCAAACCTCTCTGTAATGGTAATTTTTTTAGAGCAGATGGGCACCTCAAATGAAGCCCAGGGAATAAATACAATTTTTTCTATTAAGATCTTTCTAGTTTGAAAAGCTTTGGGATCATTGTTGACAGAGTACAGTAGTATTCAAATGTTCAACTTAATTCAGAAATTTAATAGCGAAAATACGCATTGCTTTTCAATATGCCAGCTGGAGACAAACTATATCTCATGAGATAATGCCTCTCCCCAACATTAATTTTATAATTTAAAATATTCATGTGTCTATTTGAATATTTAGGCAACTGTAAGATGACGATGACATGAGGTAAGCCATCAATCTTATTTATGTTTTTGGAATCTTGGTTCTACCTCTGTACTCCCCAACAGGAGTAAGCTCTATTTGAGATCATTGATATCATCTTGCCTTAGGGTCACATCATCATTCAACCAAAAATGCTGAGCTCCTAATATGTCCCAAGTACCACACTTGATCCTGAGCATACAAATGAAAATGAGCAAAGTTTAAGCTCTTAATTAATTCGCCGCTCATGACAGATTCCAGAGGGGCTTGTGGCAAACTGAAATCTTGGGATTCTTTTGTGACTGTTATTGTTCCTATGGGATAAAAATGGGATCAATCTATCCTAGATTTTTTTTTATGTTGAATTCATGTCATTCATCTGCCTGATATAATTTTGTTAACACTTCTGCTGTCAGTTTATTGATTTGTTTAATTATCACCCTATTGCCAACAGTAAGTCTTAACACATCCTGAAAGATAGTTTTTAAAAAACCCCAAACAGCTGGACAGTTAGGCTTAGGGACGTGAAGCACAAACATCCTATCACTTTACCAAGCTGAATGATGGAATATATTGACATGCTAGCATTCCATAACAGAGATGTATGTGTGTGTATGGGCACATGCCCGTATATTAAATAAATCGTTATATTGCAGACTCCGGTGTCACCATAGTTGAGTGCGCTGTACTCTGTGCTGAGCATGGATCCTCATTGGCCACTTCACAAACAGTAGTTCATGCTCAAGAGTGATGCTGCTACTGTGGTGATTGCTTTTCAATATAGGTAGGACAGATTGAAATTTTTATGTATGACTTCAACGCTGGCCACAAATAAAGATATTTTTTGGTGGCAGCTGCTGGTTAAAAGCAAGAAAGTCCTTGCTCGAGGCTTTTTCCTCTCTTAGATACAAAATGTGACCTGATACAGAATTGACAGGAGGATGTTGGAATAAAGCAAGAAGGGAGAAATCCTGTCCAGGTGAAGTGATATGGTGTCAAATCCTGCCTACTCATCAGAGGTAATACAAATGCTAGTTCTTTTGAGGTAACACTAGATGTCCCTGAGGTCAGATTCTCATTGTGTGGAAATTTTTCTTCACCATGAGACTGAAAAATGATTAAGAATTACAGAAACCTTTAAAAGTCCTTTGCCCTTATAAACAATAATACTACATTAGAAATGTCTTGGTAGAAGCATTGCCTGTCACTGTAATAATTCCATAGGGAAATGATAAATGACAGAATGGCAATACATTAGAAACTAGGAATTCTAGGTTTGAGAATGGAAAATCCTTTATATTTTCACATTTGCTCATAAACCGGTGACTAAAGAAAAAAATTTTGATTAAAAAAAATCTATATCCGTGCCTCAAAATGAAAATACATATACACGCTAAAGTTTCACTTTACATAATATTCTTGATCTTAGGGCTGCTGTTGACACACTGTGGAACATCTCCCATAGCATAATTTGTCTGTATCCTTGGCATGCCACGTAAAAATAAGATTTAAAAAAAAAAAACTAGCCTTCTTGTATTTTTAAGCTCATTAAAGATATGAAAAAATATAAATAATGTGGTATTATTAATCAGATGTCCAATATCCATAGCAATCTCTGGGGGTTTTATGGCACATGTCAATGTCACCACGTTGGACACTATTGTCAGCTTATAGAAAGGAATACACTGATGGACTACGTGCTCCACTGTTACTTACAAGTACTTGTTTATAACATTGTTCTTTTTCAATAGGACATTGAAAAATCTCAGTATATTTTCAACAAATGAGGAGAACTATTTTAGGAAAAGACCAGGAATCCTAAAATAACACTATACATGGTCATCTTCTCTCCTCTACAGTTTATGTTACATTTTGTTATGCTTCTGTGGAAGAAAATAAAACAATTTTCTTAAGAGACTCTTTCAAATCTGTTTTAGGATGTTTTTTCTCATGCATTCTGTCCTTTTTTAAACACTAACAGGCTTAATTATATTTAATTGTATAATTACACTTGCTAGAGGAAAAAAAATATATATATAGTGGGGAGTAAACTTACACATAAAGGACATACAATGTAGAAACTGCCATGTAGACTAGTTTAGGATAAGTGATGGAGGGAAAAATAACTACCCTATTCACAAAAAAAAAAAAAAAACTACATATACTTCCTCTTAGTACAAAAACAGTTAATTGTTCTGCATGGAAGCCAAACGCTACCAAGGAATAAGGTTTACATATGAGTGTGTATTCACAAATACATCAAAACTATATTTTTTGACATTATGTTCACGTCTGGCAGTCAGTGCCACTCTGATTTTCATGAGGACTGTCACTTTACTCCGAGTAGAATAAAATTCACCTGTGAAGGAAATTATGGGCTGACAGTAGAAACATATTTTTAAGTAACCCAAACGAGTCCTAAGATGACATTGTTGCTTCTGAGTGATGTGATTTGGAGATGCACTGAGGTCAGGACACATCTAGGCAGGAATGTGACATCCTGGACACAGAAGAGATCCCAACTCTGCAGGATGGCACTCCTTTTCTACCTCTCTCTGTGTCACTAATAAGCTGAATCCATCTGAGATTCAAGTTCCTTGTCGCTAGAAAGAAGGACTGAGTCTCTAGGACTAGTCTATTCCTGAAATACTGTGCTGTTTGGCTTATCATTACCAGGGTGTTACTAGCTCAGCAAAGTTTCTTCTGAACTTAGAGTTCAGGAAAAGAAATCATCCTAATCAGGTGACATGGCTTCAGAACTCCAGGCCTCCATACTGCAGAAGACCACTTGAATCACCTGTCTCACTTATCCTTTTGCATGTTACCACCTCAGGGACTCAAAAAGTCACCTCATTTGCACACCTTCATGCCAATTCCCCAAGTAAGAGAGAACCTTCGGGTAAGAATCATTTAATTGAATGTGTCCCACTTTATTTATCCCCAAATCAGGTATCTAAGCAGCTTGATTTTCTTGATTTCCAGTCCTAACAAGCTGCCTTGAGCTGACTGCCTGTATTTCTAAAATTGTTAAGGAGACTAACCCTGGAACAGCTTTCTGGGAACCGCACCTTTTGCCAAGCAAGCAACCGTTTTTTCCTGCAAGTTCTGCAACAGTCGGTGTTGTTTTTTTTTTGGTTTTTTTTTTTTTTTTCAGAATAAACGATTTTCTTTGATCTCTCAACTTTATTTCCTCAGCCCAAAAAACAAGAAGAAGAGGAAGGCACCACGGACACGGCCACATCCTCCTCCAATAACCATGAGAAGGACAGTGGGGTGGGGCGCACGGATGAAAGCCTGCGGAATGATGAGAGCTCGGAGCAGGAGAATGCAGCTGAGGATCCCAAGGGCGCATCCTTGAGGAGCACGAGAGGGCTGGGGCAGAGCCAGGACACCCTAGGAAGCGTGGAACTTCAGTGCAATGAGAGCTTGGTGTCTGGCGACTACATGGACTCCGACTGCGTGGGCCACGCAGAGGAAGAGTGTGAAAGGTTCCGACAGCTCCTGGAGCTCAAGTGCAAGATTCGAAACCACGGAGAGTATGACCTGTATTACTCGAGCAGCACAATAGAATGCCACCAAGGGATGGGCGTGGAGCACGAGCTCCAGCTGCTTAACGAAGAACTGCGCAGCATTGAGCTCGAGTGCCAAAATATCATGCAGGCTCACAGGCTCCAGAAAGTGACAGACCAGTATGGAGACATCTGGGCCTTGCACGACGGAGGATTCCGGAATTATAACACCAGCGTGGATGTGCCGAGGGGAAAACTAGATGACATCCTCGAACACCCAGAAAAGTCGGACAAGGACAGTTCCAGTGCTTACAACACGGCGGAGAGCTGCAGAAGCACCCCGCTCACCGTGGACCGGTCCCCCGACAGTTCCCTTCCACGAGTGATCAACCTCACCAATAAGAAAAACCTGAGAAGCACAGCAGGGGCCAGCCGGCCTTCTTCGGGAGCCAGCAGCAAAGAGTCGACCTCCAGCAGAGCCAACACGGCAGAACAAGGCTGCAGCAGCGTGGAGGCCAAGGAGAAGGCGTCGGGGAGCTGCAGCAGGCTTTCCGACCAGGACAGGCCCAGCGGTGAGCAGCGCATCCCTTACCTGTCTCCTTATCACAGCTCCTCCTACAGGTGTGCAAACATCCCAGCGCATGCCCGGCATTATCAGAGCTACATGCAGTTGATTCAGCAGAAATCTGCCGTCGAGTATGCCCAGAGTCAGCTGAGCCTCGTGAGTATGTGCAAGGAGCCCCAGAAGGGCTCGGAGCCCAAGATGGAATGGAAGGTGAAGATCCGCAGCGACGGGACGCGGTACATAACGAAGAGGCCAGTGCGAGACCGGATTCTGCGGGAACGTGCCTTAAAGATCAAGGAGGAGCGCAGTGGCATGACCACGGACGACGACACCATGAGCGAGATGAAGATGGGCCGCTACTGGAGCAGAGAGGAGAGGAAGCAGCACCTGGTTCGGGCCAAAGAGCAGCGTCGGCGCCGGGAGTTCATGATGCGGAGCCGCTTGGAGTGTCTCAAGGAGAGTCCCCAGAGTGGCAGCGAGGGCAAGAAAGAGCTCAGCATCCTTGAACTGAGCCACAAGAAGATGATGAAAAAAAGAAACAAGAAAATCTTGGACAACTGGATGACAATCCAAGAACTGATGACCCACGGGGCCAAGTCTCCGGATGGCACACGAGTTCATAATGCCTTTTTGTCAGTCACCACCGTATGACCGAATGAATGGGACGCAACGGATTTTTAGGAGGGTGCTACCAGTTTGGGTAGAGTATGATTGCCTCGTTCAATGTGGCGTTTTTATATATATTTTGCGACTCTTTATAGTTTAAATTTTTTGTAAGCAAAAATACCTGGTAATTTTCCATTTGTTTTTCATATACCGGTACCTTCTTTTTTGGCCGAGATCTTTCTTTGACTTGTGATATATTCCTATTGCTCATTTATATATATATATATATATATTAAAAAAAAGGAAAGAAAACAAAAAACTTGAACAAAAAATACTGAGGAGCCGATTAATTTCCTATTTTAATGTACCTAATGTAAGGTAAGATCCGGATTTCTCTAGTTTACTTATTTTCTACTTTGAGAACAACTCAATGCCAAAACATTTCTATGCTTGCTTCTTGGCATAATCCGTATTAAATCAACCCTGTTAATAAATCCTGTGCCACATCTTGTCTTATACATAAAAACCACCTCTTTTTAACATCCCGTTGTACATTTAGCACCTAAGTGGCCGTTGTCTTTGTCAGTAAAGTGTAGGTGGACAATCTTCCTGTGGTATGTAGTGACATTGGTCATGTTAGCTAGATAACTGTGGTAATTGTGACAATAAAAAAATAAATTATTGATTATCCTTAAGAAAAGTTATCAAGGAGTGTTTTATTTTCATTGTCCACTGTGGTTACCAGATTTAAAATTAGTCACATATGGATACTATTTAGAAGACTCCCAATTGTGGATTATAAAATATGTACATTTTCTATCACTTTTTTCCAATAAAATTGTCTTGAGATATTTCCCATAGATCATTGTGTCACATATTCTTACCAGGATTAAATTAGATAATATATGTAGAGCATCTAGCAGATGCCAACTAAACATCCAATAAGTAGGAGTTTATCTCCCCTTGCCTGCCACCTGTGAAAGGCAAAGCCAGGAAAAATTTAGGGAAGGACACGGAGAGAGGATCAGTGAAGTGTCTGAAAATGTTTATAATGACACTAGGTGTATTAGTGGGCTTGGGCTGCCATAACAAAACACCCCAGACTGGGTCGCCTAAATAACAGGAATTTATTTCTCACAGCTCTGGAGGCTGGGAAGTCCAAGATCAATGTCCTGGCAAATTCAGCAACTTGGCGAGAGCTCTGTTCCTGTCTTGCTGATGGTCACCCTCTCCCTCTGTCTTATCAGAGAGACAGAAAGGAAGCTGTCTGCTGTCTCTTCTTACATGGGCACTGAAACTCTCATAAGAGCTCCACCTTCATGACTCCATCTAAACCTAATTATTTCCCAAAGGCCCCATCTCCAAATACCATCATATTGGAGGTTAGAACTTTTTCAAAATATGAATTTTAGGGGAACATGGTTCACTCCACAGCACTACATGCGTTTATTTAATTGATCATTTGAAAATAAATTTGGAGGAATCGTCTTTTTAATAATCTCCATTGTGGTCCACTATAAATGCCCTACATGTCAGTTTATGAAAAAGTGAGATTCCTAGATTATCAGATAGGTTCTTGAAATACCGCTTTTCATCATAAAAACCATAGATATGCCTCTTGTGATGCCTCCAGAGTAAAGGCCAAATTGGCCATGTACAGGCAAACATGAGTTTGATCAAATTTTCATTCAAACCCAAGAGATTGCTGGAGACACAACATCTGAATATTTCTGAAGCTACTTTCCTGTTTAACAGGAAACAGTGGCTTCTTATTAGCTCTTGAATCAGACTCTGATGCCTTGGCCTTATATTCTAGGTCTTTCATTCACTTGCCCACTTTGCCTATTGCTCCTCTTTTTTAGATCTCTGAATTTATTCCTGGCTTCCCATTTCCACTCTAGTTACCTTAGACTATTCTCCTGTCTGGGGCCTGTGCCAAACTCTACACTTCCCTTAGGATGTAATCGTGTATACATTTTCTCTTTGGAGACTGTTTTGATGACACTAGATTTTCTCAGCATTTTGCCATGTACTTTGATGCATCTGCAGTATTGTTTTACCTTTCTTTAAAAAAAAAAAATCCTGTTATTTGAATCACGTGTGTAGAATTTATTGTCTCCCTGTATGGATTTTTAAGATCATGAAGTTGGGCCCTCGTGTCCCCCTCTGTCTTTGCAAACCTCTATAGAATTCCATTTGAATAATAATGAATGCTAGTGGAATTAAATTATTATATTTGTTTATCTCTCTCCTCTACCTATTGGTCCTTTTGTTACTGTTTTCCTTACTCTTCTACCTTTCCAAGTTCTTATTTCCTGAAGGGCTGTTACGTAGGTGGGGGAAAATGAATCTTAATTACATACAATGAAAAGCTGGACTCAGAAATTTTAAGATAAGTGATAGTAATAGCAATCTAAAGCAACTGAAAATTTCATCACTTCCAACTTTAGCCATTGTTAATACAATCAATAAGACTACTCTGAATACACCTGGAGTTTTTAAAATGTCTATCTTAAACGCTCAGTTCTTTCCTGACCTAATGCCTGTGGCTATTGTTTATCCTCTTGACATAACTGGGTTTAAATACTCACTGAATTCAAATTACTCCTATAGATAAATGTGATTTGGAACCAACATGTAGATTTTTCCAGAAGAAACATGGACACATCTCACAGAATGCAGTCTTTCTGAAGTTACCAGTTTAATTTTATTTTTGTTAAGGCCAAATATTCTTGCCAATTTTTTAAAAATGTGATGTTGGTATTTTTCATGTCTGTGTTTATACATTCTAAGAGTTGAGATATGTCTTTTTCAAAAATCAGTGAAAATCTGAAAGTGTTATGTTTTTATCTTTCTACGTAACGTATCTTTGTGCTAAACATGTTTTTTTTAAGTAAATGAATAATAAATCTGTTGCTCAGCAAAGAAAAATAATTGGTTATATGTGGGATATTTTATTGCAGCTCAGAAGAAATATGTGAATGTAAAGAAGAAAAGTATTTTCCTTGGGCTTACCTTTTGAAATTCCGTATTTTTATTGCTTTCTATACTCAAGATATGACAGAAATTGGTGGGAGGATCCACATGTGAATGACATGGGGGTTGGAAAACAATGTCTATTTGATGGGCGTCTCTTCGCTGCATGCCATGAAGAAGGCTATTGTTGCCATCTTATTTTGTGCAGAGTATCCTTCTATGAAGACATAACGTGGGCTGAGGGAGGACTCCTCTGACCTAGCCTTTCCACAGCTCCATCCTGATTTAATCCATGTCTTAGTGGTGTGTCTAGATCTTCCACCTGCACACATTCTTTTTATCCCTCCAATGAGCTTCTCCTCTCTGCTTCAAATCCCTTGTTTTGTGATGGGTGCCATTGTTCACCTGCTCTTTCAGGCTTATCCCCAAAGTCTGCTCAAATTTCCTTTTTATCAGGTCAGTCACAAAGCAGTGTTATTTTTTCTTTAAAATGTGTCAAGTTATCTTCAGTACCCTAAATCACCTTTTGGCAACACCGTCACGGTTTTGTGCCTAATTACTTCAGCAGGTCTCCCTGTGTGCCCTTTCCCACCTCCCCTACAACATCTCGTGGCAATACGCAGCGTCCTAAATGGCACTTTCCTTATGGTGCTTAGATACCTTCAAGAGTCTTTTCCTGAACATGGGATACAATCTGAGTGCCTGAGACTTATCTAAGGACTTCCATAATTTAACCTCAACCTGTTTCTCCACCTGATCTCATACCTCTTCTCTCCAGGAGGGACGTCTAACTCAGACCCCAGGAAACCTGTGCTAGACGAATAATTTGAGGCTCCTTCAAACCAATATTCTTTAAATTCTCATTAAATTTATTTTCTAACAATTTATTAGACTCTATTATTAATATCCATTATTTTTCTACTTCTATTAATAATCATTAATCAGTGTAATATAACAGCATAACAATTATTAAATAATTTTTATTATTTTCCAATTAGTAAAGTTGAACACTGTAACAGGTTCACTGACTGGCTTACTTCTATTTTTTTTTTTTTGACTGATTCACTTCTAAAAGAAAAACAGTTAAAAGTTTCCCCCAGCAAATTCTTTCTTACTTATTGGAAGTTTTGTTCTGTTTTCAGTTTTCTATCACCATTTTTCAAAATACATGTCTTTGGAAGTACATTAAAGGACTTAGACTACTTAGACTTTATTTTTTAAGACTTTATTTATTTGTTTGTTTATTTATTTATTTATTCATGAGAGACACACAGAGAGAGGCGGAGGGAGAAGCTGGCTCCATGCAGGGAGCCCAGTACTGAGCCAAAGGCAGATGCTCAACTGCCGAGCCACCCAGGGGTCCCAGACTTAGATTTTAGATAGAACAAACCATTTCTTCCTATAAATATGCATGAAATGGTTTCAGAATTTCAGGGAATACCGCCTACAGGAAGGCACTGACAAAAATAAATGACCGAAATAGTCACCTCCTGAGAACTTTGAGATTTTTTTGTTCTGGGTTTTTTGTTTGTTTGTTTGTTTTTTGCTATTTCCACCCAAGATGGCTCCCCTTTTCAGCCAAAGCAGAGTCAAGTTTACATGGAAGCTCCACTATGCTTCTACTTTAGTCAAACATGCCTCCCTCCAGTTTTTCAAACACACCATTTTCACTTCCAACACCACTCTTCGCTTGTGTTTTGCATGTTAGACAAAACCTTCTCTTTTCTTCTTGCCCATCTCTCCATCGCTGTTTATTTCCTATCTTCCCATCTCTCCAGGAGATTTGCCCTAACTCTTGTTAGCAGCCACTCTTATTTCTAGAGACTCATAGATGTTATTGTCTTAACACTCACTTGGCTTGGGCAGCCCAGGTGGCTCAGCAGTTTAGCGCCACCTTAAGCCCAGGTTGTGATCCTGGAGACCCAGGATGGAGTCCCACATCCAGCTCCCTGCATGGAGCCTGCTTCTCCCTCTGCCTATGTTTCTGCCTCTCTGTGTCTCTCCTGAATATATAAATAAATAAATCTTAAAAAAAAAAACACTCACTTGGCTTTCTACCTAGTAGTGTCTAATGTTTTTTTTTTCCTATAACGTGTCTGTCATGAGTATAGTGTGTTGCACAGTTACTAACCATTGCCACATATGTCCTTCTGGCATTTCTTCTGTTTTACCAAACAACAGCTGCTCTGGATTTTGGGTGTCATGCATTTTTTACACATCCTAGTCAATGGTGTTATATTGCAAAAAAAAAAAACATTGCTTCTGGGTTCATGGGCCATTTATAAGCTAGAGTCCTGCTTGTTACTCATTATGCC